CACAGCTGCATCATTAACTCTAGCCAATGGCCAAGACATCTGAAAGCAAGCCCTGGCTATTGTGGCACAGTAGACAGCCTAATGGAAGACTATGGGGTACCACTGTGCAAGTGCAGTTGGCACACTAAAGAAGAGCCTTGTTGGATGTAAATAAACACGAGAGGCTAAAACTATAGGTTGTGCAGAGCCTGAGTTAGGTCAGAGAACTGGGATAAATAAGATAGGTGCACTTTGTTTTTAAATCCACTTCACCTTTAACATGTATGCAATCTGTTAAACAGCAGAAGGCTAATTTCATGACCTGTAGATATCTGTCAGTGTAAATGTTTTTATTCATGTTTTTATTCATTTTAATGATAAACTTCATATAAACAATATTATTTTGTTCACTCACCTCATAAATGCCAAGAAGATAATAAGGATGAGGCTCACCATCCAGCCTGCCTTGGCAAATGCCTTTGGCATGGTAAGTGCACCTGTGCCCACAATCAAATTGAACATGTACACAAGACCAACCTATATAGGGAAAGAAACAAACATATCAAAATATAGTTTGATAAAAAATAAATTCTCATCAGCATTTAAAGCAATAAAGTCAAAAGGTTTTTTAAGCCATTTCAAATACCAATTATCTAATGTACAATGGATGGTGCTCCTTGATATTTAAAAATTGTAGTTTCCTGGAGAATCAGCTGGTCTCCTGAGCACCGGCCCCGATATCCTGTTTTAGGGTGGCTCCTTTTCGTTGCAGGGTCCTATGAAACCACCCGTGTGTGCTAATAAGCTGTGTGCGTCTCCACAAACACAGCAAGGCAAGCCAGTGTCCTCCTCCCTGCTCCCCCTCTACAAGCTAGTAAGTAAACAGCTGCTGTACAATGCTAAACACTGCGCTCTCTTGTGAACTTGTACTGGATTGGAAGTTTAGGAAAGCAGAGCTGAGAGAGTAGGAGCCAGCCATTTAGAAACATACTTTGCTGGGCAATGTATATTGATCTGGATTAATTATTGATAAACGTTTGAGAGTTTATTATTACTTTAAAATTGGTTTTCCAGCTATTTCAAACATTTCAAATAAATGTCCTACCTTAGAGCAGGCACCATTAGGTTAGCCATAAAAGCCTTTTATGTGAACATCTCCAATCCAAGAACAGAACCGACCCCATCGACCCACTGATCCCTTGTCCAAGGAGAGCAACCTTATTGGTCACCATTCTGTCACACTAATGGGAGCATATTAGATGGGCAGTGTGTATGGCAAACATTTAAATTGCTCGCTACATGAAAGGCAATCTTATAAAACTTACCTGCTGTGATCAGCACTACCTCAAACCAAGGGAGAGAGATGTTCAGATAAATAAGGACAGGGCTTCAGCTATGATCTCTCGTAATGCGGTCAAAATACTGACCATACTGAGCAATACTACCAAAAACTGGCATGGGTATCAGGAAGCAGTCTAAAGCTGGCCATACACAAATAGATTTCTGAACGAACTTTGCTACAAAAGAACTTTCTTTCGACTTTCTATTAGTTGATGGGATAAAATAGATGATCGATTTCAAAATAGAAATGAAAAAAAAAAAAAAACAGTCAAAAGGAGAAGGATGGAACATTTTTCTCAAACGCGATTTTAACAATGGATTTGGTTTTTGTTCGGGAAAGGGCATGTAGAATGCTGGCGAGTCTTCTTTATATGCCCAAATACAGTAATAGTTTGTTTTTCAGTCTTACACTATTCAGCTTGGACGCTGAATAGAAATGCACCTAATTCCTAGTCACCTAAATTAATCTAGTGTGCAAATCAATACAGAGTTACAGTCTGGTGTACGTTACACTGCTGCTAGATACTGTCACACACATTTTCTTTGTTCAACCTGCGGGCTGAACTAAGAAAATATAACACATTCCTCCATCAATCGTTATAATATTGGCCGAAAATTGCACTTTTGGCTAAATGCTGAAAGTGCCATTTTCTGCCGATACAGCGGTGCATCCCTGCTTTCTTTCCTCCCCGCTGGGCGCTGCGGGGGGAGAGTGCTGTGAGCGGCCGCCATTTGTACAGCATTCCTGCCATCAGATGGAGCCGAGGAGCATAGGAAATTCCTAAGCTCCTCGGCTCCATCTAGTAGCAGAAATGCCATGCGAATGCCATTTGCCCAGCCATAGGGAAGTTTAATAAATCATCCCTGAATTGTGTGATTTAATAGAACTCAGCAGCAGAGGGACTGAACTCCCAGAGAGGTAGTACATTTGAAAGAAAATCATACCAGATGACAATCCACCAATCAATTGGTTAAATGTGGCTCTTTGGTATCATTCACTCATAACGATAGAAGATAATGTGCTTAGTACAGATATTATGCAATTGTTACGCCCAAATGTCTGGAAGCAGTTGTGCAAGAACTATGAAGTGACAAATGTGTAAGTGACATGAATGGAAGTTGTCGGTGTTTCAGTCAGTGATTCATGTGATCACAAGACAACGCACATTTCCTGAAACATAGCTTTCTATATAAAAAAAAAATGTATAGGAAAGACTGATGGCCTTAACTAGCGGATATTTAATCACATGGGTGTCTGCAAGCAATGCGCAAAGGTTATACGTAAGGCAAAACAATATGCAGTCTTCGAAATTACAATACAACAGGAACAAGGGAAATCCTGCTTTGGTTTGCATTTTACAAACTGTGAACGCGTGAAGGCAATAAAAAAAGTGCTTCTGTAATGAAACATTTGCTGTAGTCAGCCATTTTACCTGACCACTGGACTCAATACTGGAACTATCTGGCGTCTTGACGAATCTTTTCACGTGGTGCAAGCATCTATGCTACCGGTTTCTCTATTGCACCATACTAGTAATATATTTTAATTATAAAACCCCAGATATCAATTGGCAGAATATGTCAGGTCTTTAATCAAATCACTGTTTTCCCCAACTATTATACTAAAAACAACAGTTCAGATGCACACTGTATATTTGAGGCATCAAATGTAAAGATAGGCATTGCCATGCAACAAATAGGAGGTCCCAGGTTCATATTCCAGACAAATAACGTTGATGTTAAAGGCTTAGTCCACCTAAAACCAAGAATTCAGGTATGACCTGTAGAGTTAATACATATGAGAATTTCTTACATCTCTTGGGGAACCACACTAGAAAGATCTCTTGATTGAGGTCCTAGGTTTGCAGACATGCTGTGGTCATTATGAGGGCTTTCTAGTAACCGTGTATTTGGTATTTGGGATCGATCACAGACAGTAGCACAATACTAGAACCCAGTCACACTGAAGATCATAGAAGGGAGTACTGCATCTTTTTTGTGCGATTTCGTGCAATTTTATTATTTATTTTTAAAGAAGAGCCACCAAGTGATTGGTTGCCAATTGGTTCCTGTTCATAGAGCGCTGGGGCTACAGAAAAAGAGATTGAAGACTCGATCCTCAATCTCTTTTTCTATTTGAAAAGGGAAATATCAGGGGTCTGTTTTTCCCCCCCCAAACCCCCCAACAATAAAAGTTAAAAAAAAATATATAATAATAAAAATCATTTAAAAAAAAAAATGTAAAAAAAAGGATGGGGGGGGAGTAATTTTGTTTTTCGGCCTGACAAATTTTGAAATTTTGGTTTTGGCCTAAAAAAAAATAATTTTCCTGCATCCCTAGTTGAAGGATCTATTACTGGTTTAACCTCAAATTTCAGACAGATGGCCTCATACATACCAAGCATACTCTAATGTAATGCAGAAGTCATAATTAACTCAATGACTGCAGCAAGGTAACCCCAAACCATAACATTTTCACCACCAGGCTTCACAGCTGGTATGGGCCTGTTCTCCTGAAATGTGGTCTTCAGATTGCACCAAACATGTCTATGGTTACTGCGGCCCAAAAAAACAAAAAAAACTTTGATTCAACAGCCCACAGCACATTGTTCCAGGGGGCCTTGTCTATGCTTGACACCATAATAAGGATCCTGGATATAAGCATACAAGTGGACAGTAATGTGGCCTGGCAAGTGGGTTCAACTTCTGGGTTGGGGGCAAAGTAGCTTTTGTTTTAACCCTACATAAAGCACATGCAATGTAGCATTGGGACTATTTGCACACATCCAGCTGCCCTATAAAATATTCACATCTTACGTTAAAGTGACACTAAACATTAAATCTTAAAGATGCATTCAAGTAGCTTAACAATTAACACAAATGTAGCTTATTTGTGTATCACTTGGCTGTAGAGCCTCACATCATCTCTGAATTGGTGCCGACACTGTCCTTCCTTCTGGAGGGTGGCTACTTTTGTTCCACATGGTCCCTGTGTGTGTTGTAGAGTAGCCACCACTCCAGGCTCGCTCCTGTGATGGACTACGACCTCACATTTAGTTTACCAATTTGTACTGAAATTGTAGTCTGCAATGGGAGCGAGCATGGAGCCGTAGTTACTCTAAAGTTGATCAAATTGTTAACTAGTAAAAAGTTGTAATAATGGTAGATTATTTTTCCATGCTGTAAACTGTATGCAGACCCGAACAATGAACTTCTCTTATTAGCTCCATTTTGGTATGTTAAATATTCCATTCAAAGGGTTTTATCATCTCTGTTCAATAGTTGTAAAAAAAATAAATCACTGTCCTGTGCACACTTCATCTGTCATATCAGTCCAGTTAGCCTTCCTAGTTCTTATTGTGAGCTACAGAACAAATTTTGTGGAGATGAAGACAGTGAGATTCAGTAGTTCAGAGAAAGACAACTGGGCAGTTTACAACAAACAACATTTAGGAACGGAGAGCATTTCTGGCATATCAACAGGATTTCTTCTGTATTTTTAGGGCAAGTTCACACCATCTTCTGTGTTCGAGCTGGGCTGGCCTTTTTTTGAGCAAAACCCGAAGACAAGACAGGGTAATTTGCCTGGTCATGGATGGGCTTGATTCACACCACTGTGTTTCGATGGTGTGCGTTCAAAAAAAAAAAAAAAGAGACCATAGAACTGAATGAAATGTCATTTGTGCCAGTTCAATAAATATCTTTACAAAATTCAAGGCAACTGGACTGGCTGTATTTTTTTTTTGAAGATGTTTCATTGGTCATCCAACCAGCTTTCTCAATTCAGAATGACTTGTACAAAAATTTTCTGGGAATAAATATGGTGAATGTTGCTCCAATCCACATAATCTGTTAGTCACAACCATGTGTTGATTGCATTTGCATAATTAGAGTTATGGGGTGTTAATAACCTGCCCAGAGAGAGGTGTTAAAACAGCATTTTATGTGGCAGAGTCATTACAAGTCATTCTGAATTAAGAAAGCTGGTTGGATGGCCAGTGAAACGTCTTCAAGAAAAATACAGAAAGTCTAGTTGCCTTGACTTATTTTTTACAGATATACCATGTGACCTGGATGAATGAGAACCTTCACAGACAGACATACAGTTCAATAAATTTCTACATAAAAAAAAAAAAGGAAACAGTCTAATGCGGCTCAGTTGAGCGCATTGGCACTATCCGTGGACGCGCACACCAGCAGCTGTGCAGCGGAGCGTGGCTGCTGGTGTGAATGTACCCTGAATAGATACACTTTAACACATGTGAACTGGAAACAAAAATGCTAAAAACACGGATAGCTTGCCAATTTCCAGTTTCATGTGATAAAGCCTAAACTCTCATAAAAAGTCAGATTAAAAATAGGGAAAGGTTATAAATGAAAACATTACTTACAAATGGAGAGTAGAGCTCCCCTGTATCAGTTATGTCACCTGCCATGGCTCGGATGGGATGTGGGCTGAAGAAAGGGAAAAGGGGCAAGGGGACCTAGAAAAGAACCATCAACAGCATTTAAAAATTGCAATGTAAAGTCACTTTAATTATTGATTGAAATACTAACTAAACAGAAACATACAAATAAGTATTAAGACATTGGTACTCTTAACATAATAAGCAGCATGGCCTAACGCATAGATAATAATGGCCTAGCACATAGAGAATGCAGCTGTCAAACATAAATCGTATGCATCTAAATATTTACCCAACGATGCTAATGCAGAAAAGCTCACATACATTGCGTACACACAAAATGCACAAGGTTATGATTTCTGTCAATTGGAGAGCTCCACCTCTGACTCAGCTGGGGGCATGTCAGACCTCTGCAGAGAGATGACTGCTTCCCACAGAGAGCAAGGGATCTTTTCCGCAGCATGGTGGCAGGGGACAGGCATTTCTAGTCAGGTTGTAGTTGCTTCCTAAAGAAAACTGTAAAATTTTGTTCACCTGTTGCTTTTATGCACCTGGATTTAACCTCATTCAACCTGGAAGGTCATGTGGGGCTTTAACACGTATTGATAGGACTGTTTAGTATTTCAGATCATATGTACATAAAGGAAAGACTGTAGTTTTCATTTACCGCCACTGTAATAATGGCCTCCAAGATTATTCACTTCCTCTGATATGTAATTATAACAATGACGTGCAGAAGTCTGTTTACGGTGTTAAAATTAAACTAAAAACAATACACATAATTACCAGAGCCGAATCCTACTTGGCTGTGATTTAAGTATTGCTTCAGGTGATGAATAATCCCAGAACTATCTTAATATCTATAGTTGGCAGAAGCGCTGGCAAAAAGACAGCGGTAAATCCGGTAATTGATTGGACAATGGCTCCCATAAGATCTCCGTATTAAAACTGTGACCTGCTTTGTAAAGAGCTTCTAATAATACACAGTAATTAGGAGTGCACAAACGTAGATTATGTACCTTGAAATATTTTACAATTATGTCACAGATTCCATAGACTGGTGTATACGACAAATGTGAGCATTTCTAAAAAGCGATTCCCTACATGGGTAGTAAAAATGAATATATAATTGAATAAAATACCAGGTATAAAATATCCAGACAGCACAGGGGTGCACGATCCAAGTGTTTGCTTTCAAAGAGGTAGAAGGCAACATTTAAACACATCAAAAGTGGTTTCAGTTAACCCTTTCCCTGCCAGCACTATATGCCTTACAGCACTGGCTTCAGGCTCCTGAAAACAGACTCTGTAAAGCTGTCAGCTTTAAACTGGAAGTGATTCTGGTGGCTGAGTTGCCGCCAGATCGCTTCCAGGAGCCGGTAAAGTGGTCACCCCCTGCCCAACATCCCACCTCTTGGGCTCCGCTGCCCCTCCTACAGAGCTGTGACTGGCATCATGGGTGTGGACCGGAAGCAGGGACAGATACCAGTGAACATCCGTTCGCTGATCTCCCTACTGAATAGAGCCGGAAGCGACGCTGACTGCATCACTTCCGGCTCCTCAGCTGTCATTGCCGGCCAGAGAAGAAGCTATTCAAGCATGATCCGCGCTTGAAGTGTAAAAGTGGCATTAGGGGGTCTAATAGACCCCTAATGTCACCTTAAAGAGAACCTGTCACCACAAATATGTGAGCCCCCTTATGTAATAGCAATGAAGTTAGTTTAAAAAAAAAAAAAAGATATATTTAAAAATACAAAAAAATTAAACAATTGTAAAGTCTCCGTCCTCCGAGAACTTGCGCATAATATCATAAACATGCTTCAGGTGCGCCAATATATGAAAATGACAATTGCAACACAAATGTTAGGTATCATCGCATGTGCCAGAGTTAGAGCAATAATTCTAGGGCTGCAATTCACTGCTAACTATAAATGGATGACATGTACCGGCTTTTAACACGTCACCTATGGACAATTTGGGGTACCTTATTTTGCCATTATTTCATGGATGCACGCAATTTTCAGGCTTGGCATGTTGGATATCCATTTACTTGGCATACCCTCATCTTTTATCAAAAAAATCAGGTATGAGATTGTGTTTTTGTACAATAAAATTAACTTAATATATTATTATTATATTTATTATTATTTTGGGTTTGATAGAGAGTTGCGCTATATCATGCAGTGTAACAATTTGCAACTGCCTCTATTTTATTTGACAGGGTCTCTGCTTTCAGAAAACATATAATTCTCTGGGAGTTTTCAGGCCTAAAAACTCCCCAAAGTGCATAAAGGTGCCAATACACTGTACGATTATCGTATGAGAATCACGGGAAATTCCGCAATCGTATGATAAATCGCAAAGTGTATGGAAGGCATGCGACTGTTTCTACTGTACGGTCGCACGTCTTCCGTCGAACAAGCAGGCTGGAAAGCCCGCAGAGAATCGTACGATCCTCGGCGGGTTTGTGGCCTGCTTGTTCGACAACTGCCGAACGGGCCGGTGTACGCACGCGCACACTGCCCATTCGGCATTGCAGTCATCGGAAGCCCGCCCCTCAGGGGGGCGGGCTTGCGATGATCGCAAGTACGATCTGCCTGTTCAAGTAGGGCAGATCATACGTTTTTTTTTATTACTTTACAAGTGTAAAGTGTATGGCCACGTTTACCGTAAAGCAATGCCGTAAATCCGGCCTAAACTGAGCAAGAAACCGAAAAAAAACTCCCAACACACGTATGCAGTTTCATTTACATTCTTATCTACGTGCTTACTTTCCAAAAAGGCATTCAAAACTTGAAATAGCTGCGTCAGCAAAGAGTGTGACAAAATGTCTTTATTGCGAAATAACATAGTGCTGTCTATATGGCACTTGGTCATCATCTGTAGACTACTGTACAGAAAAAACCCCCATTCATGTGTAGTATAGACAAAATATTACCATGAAATAGAATATTACTGTCAGAATAGAACAGAGGTAAAGGGGATTTGTCCATCTACACAGTTCAGTGTGGAGGAATCTGTACAATTTTTTTTTTGTATCAGCCAGTGGGTTGAACGAAAAAAACCAAAACCCTTGTACACCGTAGCAAATCTCATAAAGCAAATAAAAAAAAAAAAAAAAAAGTATTTGACCGCCCTGACGGAGCCAAATCCTTCTATATATGTGTCCCATACGCTCCCCATTCCAGACACTGCAGCTCACAGTGGGAGGGTTTCAGAAACAGAGGCAGAAAGGACAATCCAGAAAACAGTGGACAGGACTAGGTGTGGTCAGGTGATGACTGACATGCTACAGGCCTGCGAGTCAGCAGTGAGAATGCCGATAGGCACACCCCTGCAACATGTTTTCATCCCACTGTGGTGTAAGCAGGCACAGCCTACATGAAAGCGGCAACTCTGCTGAAATCAGGAGCAATGCAGCATTGTTGTCACACCATCACAGGAAGCGGCATTATGTGGACTTCACTGGCAAACTCAACAGATATTTGTGTGACTTTGCATTGGGACTAAGAAAATACTTTAATTGCAGCAGCACAAATATTTTGTTTTAATGCAAGGTCATAGTTCTACCTTAAATAATTAAAATCATTAGGCGTTATTCACACCATGTCTGTTGATCTGCATTCCCCACTAGGGATGCACTGATATTTTTTTTCCGGTACTCACCAATACCGAAAGTCCCATCAAGGAAGCCAGGCGGCGTGTAATGACTCTCCACTCAGCTTCCCGATTAGCAAGGAGGCCGTCCCCATGCTTCCCGTCACTATGTGACGAGTAAGCATGGAGCCGGCTTTCTGGCCAATCAGGAGGCCGGGCGCCGTGTAATGACGCGTCACCTGACTTCCTGATTGGCTAAGAAGCCGGCTCCATGCTTCCTCGTCATGAGGCGATGAGGGAGCATGAAGTCGGCTTCCCAGCCAATCAGAAAGCCGGGCGCAGTGGCACACAGAAAACAATTATTCACACTATACATGTGCTGTGGTGTGCAGAAAAGCTCAATGCATGTGGTGTGAACAAGCCCTAAATCCCAACCATTGGTGGTATGTCACAACTGATGTTATAAAATGTAAAAGAGAAAACAAATAGAATTTTTTTGTACTCAATGTAAAATCCTTTTCTCTGCGTTCATTAAAGGACACAGTGGAGATCTTGACCCTTGAAGATCTAAATATCTTTGAGGTGTCCTTTAATATACAGAACTGGAAATTATATTTCTGTGAACTCGATGAACATGGCTGTTAATTGTGTCCTGCCGTACAACAGTCTGGATGCGAATGACATATTACATAAGACAAGACCACAGACTTTACTTGCTCACAGACTACAGGATTCAGCAATTATGACATATACACACACACCCATACCTGTCTGCACTGCTGGTAGAAAAGCTAATGATTCCTTTTAGATGCAATACAACTATAACTCCCAGGGGCTTTGTGACACAAGAGTTTCGGGTTATGTCCGGGACCATACTACAGCACAGAGTGCCAGATCTGCTTTGTGATCAGAGATAAAGAGCAGACACTCCCAAACTCAGTGTTAGTGATCAGCAGAGAAGCAGGAACTAGAGATGCTGAATTTTACTTCAATACAGGGACATCTATAGCTCCCTTTAAGGGCTGCTGCAGAGTAATCAGGGCCACTTGTCCTCATTGATTTAAATGGGGCACAACTGCGCAGCAATCGTGCGGGTCATGCACAATTGCAGACAGCGATTGCCACGCAGACCCATTGATTTAGATGGGGTTCATCCATGCGGCAATCGCAGAAAAAAAAGGTACGTGTTTTTTGTGATGCGCGACTGGAGTGACATTAGAAAATAATGGGACCTACAGCACAATCGTCAGTGATGGGCGACTCCGTGACAGCACGGCAATCCGTGCGGTATCGTGCACGATTACCCAGGTGTGAAACTGGCCTTAAAACAAAGTAATATCAGATGTACATTATATACATTTACAGATCATTCCTACCTTGAAATGCCTCAATAAAAAGGTATATTTCCACTTTGGCAGTCAAATTTTAAAAAAACAATACGCTTGTTATGTGTTCCCATTTACAAAGCACATCGAAAAATATTTCTTAACTTTGATTTGTTTCTTTGGTGCCGGCCTCTGGGCAGACGGGAACCTATGCTGAACAATTTCTATATGTACCGGCCCCCATTCAAAGACTGGGGACACACTGGGTATCCTCACATTAACATGCAATGCTTCGAGATCTTTAGGCTCCATTCACACCTAGGTATTTTGTCACTCAAAGGTAAGGGAAACAGAAGGCTCTAGACAAGGAATCCCATTTGTTTCTATGGCCTCTGTTCACACCTGAGCATTTTGTCCAAAGCAGAAGAACGCCTGTTGCTGGAAAAAGTACACAAGCTACTTTTGGCCAACTACATGGCTTTTTGGTCCCATAAACGTCAATGGGAAACTTCATGCCACAAAACGCGCAGGTGTGAACAAGGGCCATAGAAATGAATGTGATTCCTTGTCTTGGACGTTTTGTCACGCTTAGCTTTGAGTGACAAAACACCTATGTGCGAACGGAGACGTAAAGTGACAATTAACGCAAGAATTAAACCTTAAACATACATTCAAGGACCTTAACTATCAACACAAATGTAAGAACTTATCTCAAATGATGCCTCTTGATCCGATCATCATCTTCTTTCCAGGAGTCTCTCCAGTGCTGGACCGGTATCTGATCCAGCGCTAGCTCCTAGTGTCCCTCGATGTCTGTCCGACGTGCACCCTCACGGCTGCGTGCATTCACTTCCACTGTGTCTCTCCTCTTCTCCCCACCAATGATCTCCATTGCACGTGTGCCCGCACACATCCTCCCGCTCGGCTCTTCTAGAAGCAGATTTCTACACCCGGGAGCGAGCAGCGGAGACACAGGTAAGTTTTTACCCATCGGGTAACTTTGTTATTTTTAAAAATGTTTTTGCAAATATCTACTCCTTGCTAGCAGTAAATATCTGTAACACTCCTTTGAAGCAGAAAAAATCCTAACACCCCCCCCCCCCCAAAAAAAAGACTTAAATTGTACTTTAATTCGTGAGTTTAGTGTCACTTTAACCCTGTCTGTACTGTGCTGGCAGATTTCAATTCATTTCATAACTAGATTTGAGCACGGTCTGTCCTAACAAAGGGTTAAAAACTTAGAGGCATTGTATGTAAATGAGAGGAAGTTCAGTCTGTCCCTCAACTTTTACACTTCTCAGAGTAGCCTGGAGTCTGCACAAATCCATGCAATTAATGCATGCTATCATGCAACACAGCTAACCTGCATTACAGCCTGGCAGATGTGCTGCATTGCCATTCATTTGAACACCACACCAACGCACCTCCCTGCCACACAGTGCTGAACAGCGGCGTAACACGCGCTACCGCAATACTGTGTGTTGTAAAAAATGCACTACTTTATTTCCACCACATCGCACGGTATAAATGAATGGCAAGGCAATTAAAAAAAGAATGGCAATGCAACTGGTAGGTACACATGGTAGGTACTTTGCACGATAGCATGCGCTTAACGCAATGCAGAGGTGAGCGGGCCCTTAAAGGGCGCACATTAACGCTTGTTGCGTTAACTCAACTTGTTTAAATGAATAGACGGCCAACTTAACAAAACATCAGGAAAAAACAAATATTTTTTCCAATGCAGCACATCACGATGCATGGTAGTGCTTTACCTGCGTTCTGGCGTGCTGTAACACATGTGCGTCAGATCTGCATTACCCATTGCAATGTAAATTGTGATCTGATCCTCCCTAGACGAGCCGTCAGGGTTCTGTTGCTTTGTCCCCTCTGGATATGGGGAACCCACACACAGGTATTAGAAAATTATGACATGTTTAGGAAAAATGGAAGAAGGTTTAGCTATTAATAAATCTTTGTAGAACTACAAATTCCAGGCTGATCATCAGCAAAATCTAAGAACAATCCTGAGGTGATAGAATAACACTCAGGGGATACAAAGGTCCCTTAATAGGTGTCATTCACAGATCACTACTACAGACTACTCATGCCAGTACACCAGCACCCCCCTTTTTCCTGTCTCAGTCACCATCACACACATATGTACATACACAGCTCCACAGCCCGTTCCACCCGCCCCGCTCCCCATCCGCCGTTGCCCCTAGTTACCGGTGCCCTAGGTGTGTTCCGGGTATCTCAGAAGCATTCGTGGCCACCAACAAAATCACGTGCGAGGCTAGCCAATCAGCGTTAAGAACGTCATCGTCCGGCCGGATCCTGCGCTTTCCGGTTATTTTTTTCCGGGTGTGGGCGGAACTTAGAGCAGAGGAAGCTGCGAAGAGGGCGTGGCTGGCGCAGACTTGGTGTTACGTGATAGGGTAAGATCTGTGCCTGCACGTGGTTATGTATTGGTATTAGGGGTGCTGGGCTTTTTTAGGACGACTTCTGCTGCAACTTAGAACTTCGTCTTATACACTTTGTGTTTATTACAAGGCAGTGTACCTGCTTGCTGCCTATAGAGGAGGGTGGGGGGTGCATTGCATAGTGCTGGGGTAGGTTGGACAAGAAGTACTTTGGCTTTATTTAGCTCCCCTTGACTCTAGGGCTGCCACCTTTTCTTCAAGTGAAACCCATACATTCTGAGTGCTGCAATTTTTTTTTTATTATAAAGAGAAGAGAGCGAGGAGAGGCAGCCAGGGGAGGGAGTAAGGGGACCAGCTATAGAGGACTACAAATCCCAGCAATACAAAATAATATGAAGCTACATACTCTGATGTTCTTGGTTGGCACCCTGATGTTTCAGGTGTGCTGTGCGGGCTCTCAGGGGGGCTGTGCGACTCTCGGGGGCTGTGCGACTCTCAGGCTGTCTGGCTATGGTATCTCACCAGGGGTCCACAGGCAGGCAGCACGGTGTCGGGGAGCCAGAGGAGGAAGTGCAATCACAGATGCGGCTACCAAGGTCCTCAGCAAGCGCGATCTCGGGCAGCCGCATCTGCCTGAAACCCGGGTCTTTCTGAGCTCCGGGCACCTGTAAACAGGCATATGCTGCCTGCAGCTCAGAGGAAGATCCAGTTTCAGGCAGATGAAGCTGCCCGAGATCGCGCTTGCCGAGGACCCCTGGTTTCGGCACTGAGTGTCTGGGTGCCTGCTGGCTGGACATCTGGACACAAGACTCCAAAACCGGACTGTCCGGGTGGCCAACCTACTTGACCCCTGACCATCAGGAGGAGGGTTGAAGACGGTTGGCCCCAAATGACTGGCCGCCTGGCTTCCTGATTGGTCAAGAAGCCAGGCAGCCTCAGCAAGCGAAGCCAATGTTCTTTCCCTAGATCTGCCACACGACTTCCCGATAATCTGGGCACTAGGCATCGGTACTCAGTATCAGCGAGTTCTGGAAAAAAAAATATCGGTACTCGTACTTGATACCGAAAATCTGGTATCAGTGCATCCCTAGTTTTAACCAATTGAGAACACAAAGTCCTCAATCTCTTTTTCTGTATCCCCTGTTATCAATGAACAGTAATCGTTTATGAGTGTTCCTGTTCATTGATAACTTGAGTACATTGTTTACTATAACCACAATTATGAATGAACAGGAGGTGATGTAGATCACTCCCATTCATTCATGATTGAGGATACAGTAACCATACCATATCCTCAATTATGTACAAATACTCAGTGATCGCTGAGTGTGTGTACCTCGCTCTTCTCTCTGACACGCTGTCACAGGAGGCTGAGCAAGCAGTGCACGGAGGAAAGCCCAGCCTCCTGTGACAGCGTGGGCTGTCTCCACCCCCACACCGATCTGCCGGACTGTGATAAGAGGCTGAGCGGTGTGGGAGGAGAGACACCGGCCGCTCACGGCGGTCTCCTCCTGCAGCGCTCGGCCGGCTGTCACTTTCTCTCCTCCCTGCTGGGACAAAGAGCAGCGCCCAGCGGGGAAGAAAGAAATCACGGCTGCGCCGACAAAATGGCACTTTCGGGATTTAGCCAAAAGTGCCACTTTCGCCCGGCGCCCCCCTTCAGCTTTACGCCCGGGGCCAGCGCACCGGCTGCCCCCCTGGTTGTTACGCCACTGTTGTGATGTACTTTAACTGTTTTTTTTGTTATCATTATCCTATAGAACATGTAAAACACAACTAAGAACTTCTCTTTTCTTCCCTTTTACCTTGTTAAATTGACCATTGAAAACATTTTCTTATATATGTTTTCTAAGTGCAAAAATTAACTTGATTCTGCTGGAAAACCAATGTTAGACTGTTACCTAAAGCAGTCTTATCTTCCTGCCCAAGACACCTTTGTGAGCTACAGAATACTTTCCGCCCTGTTTAGAACTACAGAATATTTATCCCTCCTCTAATCTTCCTAACAGACTTCCTGTCCTAGGGTGACACAGATCCTATATAGGTACATTAAGGAGAGAGAATGCTGTTACCTGTTTTCTTGTGACAAGAATTTTGTTACTGGCAGGCTCACCTGGTGTAAGTAAAGGAGAAAAAAAAACATAGGTCTGGTAAGCTGTAATCATGTATTCATCTATGTGCCACCCTATCTTAGTTTTTAAAGGGTAAAGCGCCGGAAGTCTTGACGCTTGGGTTATGCTGCTGCCTATAGGAGATTGGATGCTGGCAAACAAAAAAAGACCAGAAACTGTATGGCAGCCCAGGATAACCCCTCTCACTTCCAGACTGCCTCACTTTTTTTTGTAGTGTCCTAGGAAGACAGACATCCTTTCATCACCTGTTTTTGTTCAAAGACTAAGCTAATATTATTTAGCACTTTTCTTCAATTTGTTTCTTCAATCAAGACTTTTGTCTACATTGCTCCTGGAATTGCCCCTCCAATTGCAGTTATCCAGCTCAGTCGTCTTCACACTGGCTTTTGAAGTATCACATCTAGAAGCTCCAGGGCTGGACTTTGCAAGAATAACCTGGAAGTGACCTTCAGGCTTTGGGTGTGCTAGCTATGGAAGGCTCTCCAGGTCCAGAGCCATTGGCATTGCCTCAGTGCTGGCCCTGTTTCCAAAGACCTACTTAGTAAGCCAGTCAGGTGAAGCACCAGAAGCTACCTGATTTAGGCTGCTGGGCGCACTGTGGGTCTGAGCACTGACATCATCCACTGGATGGAGTATCATACACATGCTCCATGCTCTTTCTCACCATACAGCATCACGGAAGTATTATCCTGCTACTCCTCCTTTTTACAAACAACCACATTAAATAATCTTCATTCTGTTCCTGTTGCCTGTGTACAGTTACTTTGGTCAGCTCCAGTCATCCAACCCTCACCTTCTACCAGCTGTCTGGGTTTCAGGACTATTTGAGATCTTGCCTCTTAGGATAAATCTATATGTTGTCTTGCCACAATGTGGTCGCAACATGTCTAATTCCTGACATTGGAGGAAGGGGGCACTCCTGCTGTATTGGGTGCTCCCAGCTCACAGTGTGCTAACAGCTCCAAGGCTGCTTGTGAGTCTACTGATGGTGCCGCAGTCTGGAGTCCTTTTGCCCTCTGCTCTTGAAGGCTATCCAATTTTTGGAGTCCTCATTAGCTAAGTGAGATGTAGCTGTTGTATCCTTCAGCTGCAGTTTTGGTGGTATCCCTGGGTTAGAAATTGTAGTCTTGCTCCCTGACCCCCCCCTCATATTTACACCTCCAAACTTCCTGTGTCACCGCACCGATTAGCAGATCTTAATTGAACCTTCTTATGTCTGGATCTTTTCATTGCCCCATTTCCAATGACAGAATGGTTCCAGGGGTTTTACTCCAGTCTGTTCACTGGTCCCAAGACAAACGTGGGCATCCACACCATTATGGGTCTTAAGGCTCCAGGCTTCATTTGGGACAGAAATACTGCATGGGATCTACCAAATCTGTTATTACCTCCCTTCACCAGGGAGGCTTTCTGGCTTCTGTGGACATCAAAGATACTTGCATATCACTACCTTTGCAACCAATCAGGGATTCCTACCCTTTGCTGTGTCTCCCCTGCACTACCAGTTTGAACCCTGCTTTTCGGCCTCTTGTCTGCTCTCATGGCATCCCTGTGGTGGAATCCTGCTGAAGGAACAGTCAGCGCAGGCTCTGTTGGACAAAGTGGCTTTGACCTTCTAGACAATATAACAGTTCGGATACATCATAAACTTTCAGAAATCATTGCTGAAACCAACTTCTCATTGTGGAGTATCTGGGTCTAGTCCCGGACACAACTTAGGCCAGTGTTCCTTCGACAGGAGAAATGTCAGACACTGTGATCTAAGATTTGAACTGTCCAGTCCAGGAGCTATCTGACTCTGTGATATTACATGAGAATACCAATTTTATCTCTGTAGCATTGGACCTGTTTCTGCAGCATTGGACCAAATTGCTGGAGGGTCAGCCAATCCAGATTCAGTAGGACCATGCCACGACAATGGCATACATCATCCACCAGGGAGAAACCAGAGGTCTTGCAGAAGCAGGAAAGATAGGACAGATCTTTTCATGGGCGTAACTTGTTCCAGCCATGTCAGTCTTGTATATTACAGGCAATTCTAGATAATTGGCAAACTGATTACCTCAGCTGGCAGAGCTTGGCCCTGGGGGAGTGGTCTCTTAACCTGGAGGTGTTTCATGACCTGTGTCACTGGTGTGGAAAGTTGTATGTGGACCTCCTACCCCCAGATTCAACTACAGACTGGACAGGTTTGTTTCCAAGTACAGGAATCCTGTAGCGGAAAAACCTTATCTATATGTTTCCTCTTCTGAAACTTCTTCCTCGTCTGCTTCACAGGATTGAGATGGAGAGCGTTCTGGTGATGCTCATTGCTCCACACTGATCCAGGTGTAGTACTCCAATCTGGAAAGACTACTGGCAGATGCTCATTGGGCATTGCCAGATCATGCAGATTTTTTTGTCCTAAATAAGCATGGCTGCTTAAACCCAGGTTATGAGGGATAGGGGAATCTCTGAATCTGTGATTTCTAGGATGCTGAGAGCTAGGAAGTCTATTTACTGCCACGTCTATCATCAGATGTAAAATGCATGTTTTTCTTAGTGTAAGTTTTGGGGCTTCCACTCCAGGACTTTCTCTGGGGATCGAATCCCCTTTCTTGCAGCTGTGTCTGGACCAATGTTTGGCTCTTATCACTATCAAAGGTTAGGTTTCTGCCATTTCTATCCTGTTTCAGAGACCACCGGCCTCTCAATCCTTAATTAAGATCCTTGTACATGGGGTCTCCTATGTGTCTCTTCCCATTCCCTGGTGGCTTTACGGGACTTGATTCTGTTTCTGCACTTCAGAAACTGCTGTATGAACCAATTAGAGATGTTCCTCTCTACTTTTACCCATGAGGTGGTGTTCCTTGTAGCCAAGCCCTCTGTGAAACAAGTGTCTGAATTGGCAGCTTTGTTCTGTAGGGACAAGGTGGTGTTGAGGCCCAAGACTTTCCTTTTGTCTAAGGTAGTTTCTGCCTCAACAAGGACATTGTTTTTCTGTCCCTCTGTCTGGCTCCAGTTCACCAAAAGGAAATTTCCCTCCCTTGTCTGGATGTGGTTCATCTCTTAACCACTACTTCTTTAGGAAAGACTACTTTCCCTTTTGTCATTCCGAATAGACCCTGTAGAGGTACATCAGTTTATCCCTCTACCATCCCTAGAAAGCTCATGCAGACTATCAACCAACTTATGGTCCCAGGGATTGAGTTCCACTCTTTCCTGTCAAGGTGCACTCTACTAGTTCTGTGAACACTTCATGGGCTTTTCAAGGGCATCAATCAATTGTTTTCCCGGCTGCCAACTTATCTTCTTTTCACACTTTGCTCTGTTTTAACAGGTGGATGTTTCGGTCTCATCTGGTGCCAGATTCAGGCTTAAGGTCTTTCAGTTGGCACTTTGAGCTGCAGGCATTCCTCAGTTCTCTGTTTTCCTGGGACTGTTAGCGATTGTTTGCTTTGTTGCCCACCCATCTCTGGTTTTATCTGTCCTGAAGGTTAAATATTCCCTATGCCCCTGGCAAGAAAGAAAATAGGATTTTTGTATTCACTGTAAATCCTTTTTCTCTGAGTCCATTAGGGACACAGGCCCCACCTCTGTGTTTATGAGTATGCTCTTGGTACTGCTTTGCTACAAAAGTGAGGCATGCTGGTAGTAGGAGAGGTTATTCTTATTTGCCAGTGTTCAATCCTCATGTAGGTGACAGTATAACCCGAAAGTTAATGACTTCCTGTGTCCCTCAATGGAATCTAAGAAAAGGATTTTACAGTGAGTACAAAAATCCTATTTTTAATAACATTACAGCAAACATATACTGTGTGTCCTATCCATTCTTTTTTTCAATCAAATGTGCACTTCTCATTTAAAGTCCAAATTAACTATTTCTTTTTTTAAATCTGCTTAATACATTGCCAGTGCATTAAAACTGAAAATGTACAAAGTCTTAATGTTTATTTTCTTAAGAAAACAGCCACACTCTAGAACAGCCTGTCTCCTGTCATCATGCTGCAGAAAAGGACCCTGTGGAAGCAGTGGTTTCTCTGCAGAGGTCCAACACACCCCTTGCTGAGTGAGAGCTATAGCTCTGCAATTAGTAAAGCTCATGCTTTCTGCTAGGACTCAGCAAGGGCATTTGTGACCTCTACAGAGAGCCCATGCTTCCACGGAGAGAGCAAGAGTCCTTTTCTGCAGCATGCTGGCAGGAGGTAGGCTTTTCTATTCAGGCTGTGGCTGCCTTCTAAAGAAAGCAAACTGTAATACTTTGTAAGACTTTTGTTTTAAAGGAGAACTATGAAATGAGTGATTTCCACTCACCTCATAGTTCTAGCCGACCTGTGACAATGATACTGTCACAGGTCGGCTCAGTAGATCGGGAGGTGAGCGAACACATACCGGGTTCGCTCGCCTCTCGATCCTGTCACGGCTCTCTGCCGTGACAGGGGGAGGGGCTGGATTCCCCAGCGCTGACTGGCGGAACGGACGGGGGAGGGGGCGGGTACAGCTGGCTCTGCCTCTAGATAGGCAGAGCCAGCTGTCACTCACGCAGCTGGGCGGATCCCGTCATCTACGTCGGGATCCGCTCCGGCTGCGGCGTCTCAGTATACCGCGAGCTGTAGCTCGCGGTATACTGAGCTTAGGGTAACGGGAGGACGCTAGTTTGTGTCCTCCCGTTCCCCTAAGGAGAACTATGGGGAAAAACACTGACCCCATAGTTCTCCTTTAATGCACCTAGAGTGTATTTAGCTCAGTTAAACTAAAAGTTCAGTTAGGTTTTAAAGAACAACTCCGGGCAGAAATGTTTAACTCTCGCAGGGGGGCTACCCCATGCACTGCAAGGGTTAACTGCTCATTTTTGCCTAGGGGGGGGGGGGGGTATTGATAAGGAATCCTGACATTTTTCTGACCTTCCTTTGTTGCGTACATGCGTTGGATCGGTAACTCCCAACTTTTAAAACTAAACACAAACAAATTGCATTTTTGTGAAGGTGGTCAGCGAAGGCAAGCAAAATATAGCCCTCGTGACAGGTGTTTTTAATGACAGGTTTTCATGTCAAGTTACCAAATGAGTAGATGCTTTCCATGTTGTGTTTTATGTAGCCACTACTGATTTACTCTCTCTGGTATACAGGACCATGCGTATCAATGAGGACACAGTGATGAAAGGACAGCGGGTGATTTTAGTGCCCTATGAGCCTCACCATGTTGCCAGGTATGATTGCAGTCAACCAAAAGCATCTATTCTGTTAGGCCTTATTCACACTGCCGCGCATATACGCGCGGAAATGTGCGCATGTGCGTATTGTAACCTTATGCAACATATGCAAATAAATGGCTCCGTACACAGAGCTGCGTATGGAGCCGTATATTTGCGTCGCGTAAAAATGAGCAAAAACAGAATGGAACCGAGATGCGTCCGGGCAGCGTATTTCACGTGAATACACGTGTTTGCTTGCTTATACGCACGTGTACATTTCATTAAAATTTATATTACAAATTATGCATTCTGGGATTGCATATAGTGCACGCACATACGCGCGTATATGCATATACATATGCGCATATACACAATATACAAATTTGCTCTTGCGTTTCTCCCTCTGGAAATCTTGCCTTACTGACTTGCCCTCCTGCAATGTCAGCCAGCACCCCCCAGTGCCCTCCTGCATTCTCAGCCAGCCCCCCATCCAAACTATTACCCACCCCCCTGCTGCAATATCAGCCAGACACCCCAGCACCGACTACACCTGAAGCCCCCTTCTATAACCACCCAACATGCCTGCACCCCGTGTCTTTCAGCACTCAATTAACCTGCGCCCCCCCCCCAGAACTGCTTGCCTTCAGCCTTCCTTCTCACTTCCCCAGCTGTGCCCTCTCCTCCTCACCATCATGCCTGTACCACCTCTCCCCTCTCCCACTCAGCCTTTGCATGCCTGCCCCATGCTCCACCTTGCTGTCACCCCACACCTACAGGAAGTTCCCCCCTATCACCCAATGCCCCGGACCTTATCCTCACTTCCTGCTCTAGTTCAGATTAATGTTAAATGAACTTGCTTGCTGATGTCAGCATAGTTGCAGTGTTTGCTGGTTAGCACTACATTTTACCAATTTTACTTTTTATTTTCACTCACTAGATATAGCATTCATTTTAGATCTTTCATTTTTATCCAGCAAATTAATATCTTGGTTTCCTCCTACCAAATTAGTGTCTATGTTAGGGGTAGGCAACCTTGGCCCAGCAGATGTGCTGAAGTTACAAATCCCATAATGCCTCTACCTCCGGGAGTCATTCCTGTGGCTGTCTTGCAATGCCCCATGTGACTTTTAGTTCCACCACAGCTGGAGTACTGAGGTTGGCTACCCCGATGTACTGTATGTTATACTATTCTATTAGGTATATAGCTTTTTTCATTTTAATATGTTCTGCCTCAGGTACCATGAGTGGATGCAGTCGGAGGAGCTGCAGCAACTAACAGCTTCTGCACCTTTGACCCTGGAGCAGGAATATGATATGCAGCGCAGCTGGAGAGAGGATGAGGACAGTAAGTGGCACACATTGGCATTTTTAAATGATGATACTAGTCTGTTGTCTGAACTTTGGATGAAGAAGTCCAGTGTGAACTGCAGAAATGGATCATGAAAGAACTTTTAGAAGCAAGTCATGTTTCAGGTCATATTTCCTACTATATTGTAGACACTGAAATATTAGTTACCACAAGCAACATTTGTGCCCAGTTTTTTTTTAAGTAGACTTGTCAATGTATCATTTTAATTATTGCCTTTTTTCCACACTGTTCTACCAGTACACTCCATTCTCCTCAGAGCCTCATTCCCTTCTCTCAGGACAGCTTTTCTTTTGTTGTCTTTGTGGCATACATATTACATGAATGATTGGTTCACCACTTGTACCCCAAGACATTGTGTGATCAGTTTACAGATCATTCATGATGGTCACTGTGTTCGTAACTAGTTAGGACATTCACCATGGCTGCAAGCATATTCTCCACCTGTATGTTTGCCAGATCGAGTCCCATTCATTGCATCTGGATTTCTCATTCCTTAGTGGGAAATCTGGGTCTCAGCAACATTTACTACCACTATAATTTGCTAATTTGCTGTATTTATACAAGCCAAATCTGTTTTGCTTTGTTCAGGTGGCAAATCCATTATTTAATTGAATCTAATGGAGGACACATCACACCTCCTGATTTAATTAACAAAAACAGGATTTTTGTACTTGCAGTAAAGTCCTTTAGTTCATTGAAGAACACAAGATTCAGACAGTTATTTGTACTGCCACCTTCAGGAGGATTTGGACACTGCGAAAGAAAAGGAACCGGCCTGGTATAACCCACTCCCAGGATGCCTCTGTTTTGTAGAAAAGCAGTACTGTATTATGAATTTTTTTATGGCCCAAAAACTATGTGACACCACTTTGGTACTAGTTGATGATGTTAGAAAATGTTTAGCCTTTGCTTCACCTGCACAGCAACGCTGCAAGGTCACTAGTATGGATTATTTTAATAAAAAGAACCCAGCTAAGACCTTTCCTAGGGACACTCTGGTGGTAGAGGTACTTCATGTGGATTGGTTCACTGCGTCTTGACCCACCATCTTGAGGTAGATTATATATATTCTACGAAAGACGCACTCTACTAGATCTGTCACTGTTTATTGGGCTTTTCAACATCAAGCATCTACATTGCAGATGTGCAAGGCAGCCATCTTTTTTTGGGTTCATATGTTCACAAAGTTCTACCAAGTGGATGCTCAGTAATCTGCTGATGCTCGTCGGCTGTAAGGTGCTACACGCTGCTTAGTACTCGTACTCGGCCAAATGCTCTAAGTGCCCATTCACACCATGTCCGGATCAGATGCGGTACGTTACGTTTTTCTTCCGCACCAAAAATGCATGGATGCATGGAAAAAAAAATGCTGCATGTCACATTTTTCCTGCACTGGAACACACCCTAACGCGTCACAAACGCGGCAAAAAAATGAGCCGGCCGCAATGCGTTCCGGCCAGAATCGGACCGGAACGCACTGCATATGGTGTGAACTAACCCTAAATGACTTCTGCAGTCTCAAAATGATTCAACCCCTTGAAAAGAATCCCTCAAAAGAGCACATCTGCAGAACAGGTGTCTCAAACACACCTGATACAAGTATCAAGGGCTTCTTTAGCTTCACCGGGTGTGCTTGGGCTAGAACACATGAAATACCTGAACTGGCCAGGGGTTTGTTGAGTGTATTTTATCTGTGTATTTAGATGTTCTCCTGAAGTTTGGTTTTAATATTTTGACCAGTTTTTTTATGGCAGCGTACTGTCTGGTTCTCTGCAGGGAAGTAAGGATAGTGGCCAAAAAATCCAGCTCACGGTCCAGTTGGCCCTTCTAGGGGAAGTGTGATTTGTGCTGAAAAGATGGCTCTTTCTTACAAATGTATCCTTGTGTAAAGAGATTTGTACCGAGAATCTTGTTTTTATAGAGGCACCATTTCTCACAGATAACATAAAAGGTTTTATTCATTAAGAATTCTGCCTTTACAACCTTGCTAGATCTTTCCTGAGCCTCTTGTATTAGGGATGCCCCTATTTATGTTTTAGATTCTAAAGTGGAGATTGGCATAGAGGCAGCTGAGGATTTTGGGGGAAAAAATGATTGGGTAACAATAGGCAAAAAAAAAGAAAAATATCTGCAAACAAGACTAAGGAACTTCTAAAAGGATAATTTTCATTGTGAAAAAAACGTACCTGGGGCGCATGCGCGGGCCTCGCTAAGATGGCCGCTTAGCGCAAGTGCTTTGCACCTTGGCGGCACGATACCTCTTCCCGGCAGCTAGGAAAGCTTTGTATGGCACGATCGAGGCTGAAGGGTGCCAAGGTCCCGGTCTAGATCCGGAGGAGCAGACGAGGCTTGGGTCGGCCCGGGGCCGTGTAACGAGGCCGCACTCTGGGGGTCTGACAGGCGGCTCCTCCCCTCGAAAAATACCATGACAGAGGCTTGGGGCAGAGAGGGACGCTGACGCTGAAGCCACGCTGAAGCTAGTCACCCAGCCAGAGAAATCTGTGAACAGACGCTGGGAGAGATAAGGTACAGAGGGGTCATTAACATCTTCAGTACTGGCAGATGGGAAGCCACAGACACAGCAGAGGTAAAACAAACGATATGGACTCTGAATTTGCATATGCAGTGCTGCACTATAAGTATTAACTAAGGGATTTTGTATGCAATATAAAGCAAAATGCAATATGAAGCAGAGGATGTTACCTATATCTGATTGACTATCTGATTGAGGGCTGGAAAACACAAAGTGTTAACTAGAGACTGTGTATGCAGAAGACTAGGATGGATCACTGGTTCTATAGAAGCCTGGAAGCCTGGCAATGAGCGTCTTACAGAACAAATATTGAAAGAACTATCAGCCTCTAAATATTGGGAATCATAAAAGCAGCTTCAGCGGTCAATAGATCTCAATGGCCGGGAGAGGGCCTAAAAAATCTAAGAAGCAGTCACAGAAGCAAAGGTCAGAGACCCTGAAATCCAAGATGGCAGCAGTACCATCTTCTTCGCCTATACAACAGAAACACACAAGAGCTAGACACAGCGATGTGGAAGATTCTTCCGACTCTACACATCGGACCTTAGCGAGTACAGATTCCTCTGAGCAAAAATCACCTGTTTCTATGGAGCCCCTCATCGAGCGCACAATAGAGGAAATACTAGCTACCAAGAGGTACTACCCAGCTGACTATAAATCTCCAGGAGTATTACAGAGAGACTCTATTTCAACTGACATAGCAGATGACCACCCCCTGGTTATCAAATTATCTGATATACTTGACAAAGGGCTAGCTCGCACCGCAAAACAAATCCCCGCGGACATTAAAACGGATATACAAGAACTGGGCTCCCGAATAGATGC